TTTTCGACCTATTAAGTGATTAATTTCATTAATACCAAGAAAAGTTTAAAAATTAACAAAAACACCCCACCCACCCAACTTCCCAGATTTTGGCTACCGCCGACAGCAACGAACGCCGAAAATGGCCGGTAATGGCCAGTTGTGACCTTTTTCGGCTAGATCCACCGTCGATGTGGCCGGAAAAGGCCACATCTCCCTCAGGACTTTCAATGAAATGTCCGACTTTGACGGTCAACGACGGCCAAATGTTGGCCATCGTTGATCGACAACGATGGCCATTATTTGGCTGTCGCAGACGGCAAGCTCTGGAATTTTTCGTTCGTCTACGGCCAGTTCTGGCGGATCGTGGGGCTTTTCCACCACACCGCGGTCGATCTGGCCAGAAAAGGCCATATAGAGGCCTTATCGGCAGATCCGACCAAGTGCATCGAAACGCCCTTTCCCGGTCAGATTCCGCTCCGGTGGCAAGAATCTGTAGTGGGTAGGTGGGGGTGGATCTGTTAAATTTTAAAACCATTTGCAGAAGAATCGTTAAGCGATACAATGGACGCTTAAGCGATCATGTGATTGGCAAAGAAATCTGCCCAGTCCATGATCACTTAAGCGATCCGTGATATCGCTTAAGCGAATATTGCCTTTTCCCATGGTTGATTAGAGATCTTGGATCGCTTAAGCGATCATGCACCTGGGCAGAATCAATCAGTCCAGGTGCACGATCGCTTAAGCGATCTTTGTATCGCTAAGCGATCCTTCTACGAAAACACTTTGTCGCTTAAGCGATACACTTAGTCTTAAGCGATCGTGGGCAATATATACATTTGCATCTTTTCTCCTGAATTTTGACAAACTAAAATTACCAACACGTATAATTCCATACTTTTTCCTCAATTTGACAGCCTAATTCCAAACTAAAATCACCAACAAATATTTAGACCATGTAATAAGAATACACAATATAAAGGATAATTTATTAAAGGTAACAATAAAATTTAAAACATCAATAATTTCATCCTTCTTCGAATCGAACCTAATTACTTCTGGCAACTGCTTCTCTGTGACCAGATTGCTTGCAAATTGAGCACTTATCATCTTCCGGGAACCTCAAAGGCTGATGGAATACGCTTAAACCTTTTTCTCCCCTTTGGTGTCTTCTTCAATGCGCGTGGAGGATAATGTTAGCCACCTCTGGCGGCACTACCCACTGCTCTTCTGGAGGCACCGGATATATCGTTTCTGAATATGCTAGCATGTAGTGATCTGTCATGTAAAGGGAAGCAAAGTCCATGTAAATTCTTGAACCAAAATCCAGCTTCCGTTGGTGTTCAGTGTGCTAGTGCATGAGGATAAGGTAAATGAATGTCAAGCACTTTACAGCTGCCAAGTTTTTGTAACAAGGTTAACTAGGGCATCCGGACCATAGCCGTGCACAGTAAACTCTTGAGCATTAAGAGGATAGGCAACAGTGCATTTGACAGTTCCATATGTTCTCGCAATATTTTTTCAGCTGACGGAACAAGGGTTGTAGTAAAATTATCTGACTCCATACGACGCTCATGGAACCACCGCGACAGTGTCCTTGGATTGCATCAAAAGTGCAACTATTGGAAACTCTCTTTCTATAACAACTTCGAATTTATGAGAAGCTATGTTCGTGTCAGACATCAAACCTTCTTCCAGGAAAGAAGCTCTACCCATCTTTCGAAACCAACATCAGCTCAAGATACTTAGCAACTCTACAATCCTTGATTCGGATTTGCGGAAGTGCTCCTCGAACTCATCAACCCGATAAGCTTTTGCTGCCATGTAGTATGTCTGAAGAGGCCAGCACACTAAACTTGTTTTATGTCTCACCAGAGTGCATACAAAATCCGTGATGTGCTTGACGGTAAATAGTGGCAATCCCCTTCTTTATAGGTTGTGCCTATCGGATATTATGCACAACTCGTCACTGTCAGGCACTATCGTACGTAACTGCTGAAAAAAGCAAGTCCAGACTCGTCTCTTAGAGTCAACACACACACCATGCAACAGGATATGTGTGATTCTCGCTGTCCTGTGCAGTGGCCACCAACATGTACCTCCATACTTTCCATCAGAAAGAACCATCAACAGCCAACACCTTTCTTATGTTTACAAAACCCCTTATAGCAGCACCATAAGCAACAAAAAAATATTTAAACATCATATTCCTGTCCCACTTCAAAGCCGTCTGCTACCTTGGTTTGTCAACTCAAGCTATAACGGTACGCTTCTAATACTGCGTACCCGTGCCGGCGTGCCCTCACAAAATCTGTGCATGTTGTCTACCTTTCCAGCATTTCCAGTAACTAACAGCACATCCCAACTCTGTGCGCACAAGTTCTAAATGTCTTTAGGAGATGGACCTTTCCCTTCGACGAACCGACTTTTGACAAATTGTCCAATAAATCAGCGGACGTTTGCGATGCCACTGAAATATGTCCCAAACCACAGTGTGCTCACGGGTATATGTGCTAAGAATAACTTTTCCGACTCCGCCAACCTTCTACAATAAACCCGCCACTTGCACTTTCGGTCACGACATGCAACTGTCGCAGCCAATGAATTTGACTTTTTGGTGAGAACTCAAAATTACCTTCACAGCAACAAGTTTTAGCTTCCTCACCACTCCTTTTTTGTCAAATAAATACCCTATGCGCAGTCCGATCCATCCGTAAAGACATGAGTTGATCCACTACACCCCCAATTGCCCCTTTGAACCTGCATAAACGACATAGTGTTCTTCCTCAATCTACGCCTTCTGCATAATCTGTATTTAAAGGAATCTTACATTGTGGGAACATCTACGGGGTCCTCCTCAACATTTTCATTCTGCCCCCCATCACAACCTCTTCTATAGTGTCCTCCTCACCACCAATTCACCGTCTACTCTTGATTTTTCAGCTAACAAATCAATGGCCTCGTAGTTTAAATTACAACCAGGCAAATCTCCGCCTACATCCTCGTTATCCCCTTCCTTGGAACCAACTTCCAACGGTTTTTCTACATAAGAACCCTTAAAATCAGCCTCAAACCAGTATGGCTATATCAATCATAAATAAGTTCACACTTTCATCCGACTTTAATACAGCAGGAGGTACCTTATAATTTTCAGGAGCTCTGCTTAAAACATACTTCAAACATATACACTACGCGAGCAACTCAAATTACCTCTTCTAATTATTTCATCAATCAACTCATCAAAACTAACCTCTGCTCACATAATTGGTATAACTTCTTTGCTCTTCCCAATCACTTCACCTACTTTCTTCCTCCACCACCAAAATATTCAACACCCAAAACAACTTTTCCCATGTATAATAATAGCCAACTACCTGTAATGAAGAAACAATATTCTTAAATGCTGTACTAAGGGTTCAAATATTTTAAAAAGAATCTGCACATTCGCATATTTGGTCGATGTATCGTTGAACGATCATGGTTATTTATACGGATCGCTTAAGCTACACTTGATCGCTTAAGCGATCCAGTATAATAACCATGATCACTTAAGCGATCTTAGCCATTTACTGATCGCTTAAGCGATTGCTCCCATACAACAGACTTAACAGATCGCTTAAGCGATCTTATGCCACATACCTGATCGCTTAAGCGACTATCTGCTGCATTACCAGACTACCAGATCGCTTAAGCGATACAACAGATCGCTTAAAGATCCACTGCCAGAAACATTTTCAGTCATCCCCTACAATCGACCATCATACTCAGAATAAATACCCAGAACAAATTTCAACAAATTTCACTCCTTTCAACCTGCATTACATCAAACACAACCCAACAACCTAAACAACTAAATCAAAATCTAACCCAAACCCATCCATTATTAAATCTTTGTAAATCTAAATATAAAATGTAAAAAGGAGATACACATACTTAGACGAAATGTCAGGAGGAGGAGGAGGGGGATCTTTGCCGGAGAAGATGTAATGGTGGAGGAAGAAGAAAGTGGAATGGCGGAGGAACAGAAGATATAGAGGAATGAGGAAGAAGAAGATGGACAGGAAGGAGGAAGAAGAAGAAGATGCAGAGGAAGAAAGATGTTGACGAAGCCAAGAAGAAGAGAAGAAGATGCAGGTAGAGATGCGGTAATGGCGGGAGGAAGAAGAAAGGTTGTGGGTTTATTTGCAACAATTTCGGGTTTGTGGGAATATAGATAATTTTGAAAAGATTACATTAATCCTAATTAAGCACTAATTACCCTTAATCAATAATATGGCTATTTAGTTAACATTTTAAAACTTGATAGCCTTTTAATTAAATGTAAACTTCAAATGTTTTTTTAATAAACTCCCCCTCTCTTGACCATTTTCTTTTTCTAGTTCAGCTATCACTTCCTCAGACTCGGCGGAACCGGAAAACAAAGTGGTTTTCGGGGTTTAAGCGAATTTGTTCTTATTTATATATTTAAAAATGATTAATTCTTTTTTTCTTATTTTTCTTTACTTACAAATTTAATTAATAAATTATTTTTCCTTAAGGGAATTAAGGAAAAATGACTTTTGAGTTGTCATCAATGTTTATCATATGATTAGATAGCAAAGCATAAAAACACGCTCTACATTAAAACAACTTACAGCGTGATCAGAAATTTAAGAAACTACTTATTAAAGTATTTGACAAAACATTTACTAAAATTATATATGAAATTTATAGACGATGCTCTGTATTGAAAATCATTTAGATAGTGATAGCTGGTTGATAATTTTTTATTTTAAAAAAGAAAAAGAAAATAAGAGTGAAGTTAATATCTCAAATCCAAGTTGTCACAGTTCCTCTGATCAATAGGTAGCTGCTCTGAGAATAATTTGTTACTGCAACATGCAATTTGCCCAAGGGGTAATCTAATTCCTTTGAACACTGACTAACATAAGAGGGTCTGATATCTGATGGTTGTTTAATGTTCAACTTGCTGAATATAAAATTATATTTTAGATAGTTATTTGAATTTATGGGAGAAAACAAAAAAACCTAAAACTACAGCCACTTAGGCCTTAGCATCCAAAACTATAATAGACTGGCAAGTGGCAAACAGCATTCCAGAATAGTATTTTCTCTCTGTAAAATAATTTTCCTTCACCAAATGAAAAAATAATGTTAGAGCAGAAATGAAATTTAAGTAGAGTCTCCCAAAAGTAAATCAAACATGTCATCAGGGGTTAGAAGAGTTGTTCCACCAATAATCAACTGCATGTCAGGCCTTCCACTCTCGGATAATGCCTCTAGGGCTTCGCGTACCTGACATTACATAAAGAGGAAGTTTATAAATATGGTTTCTGAAAATAGTATTAAAACAAACTTCAGATGCAGAAGCCAATTTAGAACTCATCCTGAGAATTCGAAAAGAGTGTGCTTGTGTTAAAACCATAAGCAAACTTTTTAAGTAAAGAAAATAGCACATTCTGAAAGAGGAGACACATTATAAAATAAGCTTAAACAACTCAAGAAAGTCATACCTCTAGACCATTGATGCCACCGATAACAAATATCAGAATAACATTTTGATCAGCAAGACTTGGTTTGGCCTGGAGATTTTGTAAAAGCAAAGTTCAACCTTTTGGAACTACTGAAGCACATTTTCCATAAAATTTAAAGAGATCAGAAATTACCTGTCCCAGACCAAATCTCCCAAACCCACTTTTGAAAAGTCGCCCCACAGTAGAAGAATGGTACTCCAGCCCCGGCACATCATGCTTGCCCAACACTTTTGTTAGCAGCTTATAAAGTAATCCCTTACTTGTGTATGAATCACCACTGAAGTTAATTTCGGAGCCCAGAGGACCTTCTCTCAACTGTATATTCCTCCTCTTTAGATCAGATACCTTGTGAAAAAATCTGAAAAGGTTATCCACCCTATCCCGCAACTCCAACTTCAGCTGCATGTCATCGTACGCTTGGTCTTTCTTATCATCATTATCTGCATCTTCATCACCCCACTTACCCCATTGATCATCATCAAAATCATCAATATCTAACTGATCCGAAGACGCTTCTTTGGTTTCCTCTGATTTCATTCTGCTTAGATTGGCCTCAAGCTCCTCTGTTAGACCATGGAGGAACTTCAGTCTGGCTGCTGATGGATTTTCAAGAAATGCATCTACAATAGCTTCTTTTAGAAAATGCTCCTCTTGCCACGAAAATGGGCCACCAGATCCAGATGTTGGGAAATTTTCACCTGCCAATACATAACCAGTAAACATAAGGAGCAGAGCATCTTTGAAAGAGAGTAGTCCTTGTGACGACTCTGGTTTTCCATTCTTCTGCCCCTGTGATCCGACCAAACTCTTGTTGATAAGATCACCAATTTGAGCAGCAAGACTCTGGCTAGTGTCTCCAGCACTGACATGCAACATTTTCTCTGCACTGATAAATGCATCCCATCTGGCACTGTGTGATTCCTCAAGAGTGCCTAGTGCAGCTGCTGCTAACTGAATAATTCCTTTATTTCTTAAAAATGATGACTGGCTTTGAGCCAGTGCTTTAATCATAGGTTGCAACTCTGATTTTGTAGCAGAACCAGGACGAGTTCTCACATTAACAGTTAAATTTTCCCCGCGCACTGTCTCCTGAAGCCATTTCTTTATCAATACAGCCCCATCTTTTGTTCTTCTATCCAGTAAAGCTTTCATATATGGTGTTCCACAAAAATTTTCGGTGGAGACAAAGGATCCACTGAGTAGCTGAATCTCAGAGGAAAGGGACTTTTCAGTATGGACTTTGTTGCCAAGATCAACCAAATTGACAACTTGAGAAGATTGGTTGTAAGCATCCCACCCACGTAAAAAAGCTTCGACATTCTGTGAAACCTGAGAATCTTCTCTTTCCAAATCTTCTATACTTAAGATATTTACAATCGGTATATGAACATCAATAGGAGGTCGTTGTATGTGAGAAGGCCCTAATTTGACTTGGCTTTGAGAACCTTTCGTGTGGGTATAGGATGTAGTTCTTTTCCTACGAGGCAAAGATGAAAATATGCGATCAACAAGAGAGTCTCCATGACAGCATGGAGTCAGAAGATCAAATGTGCGGTCAACAAGTAATAATCCGGCTGGTCGCTTACGGCGACCTACATCATAAAGGCTTGACATATCCGTCAAAATCTTCCCAACAGTTTTTGACAAATCACCAAGGGAAAATATTTCCATTTTCAAGTCCATCTACACAATTTTGGAAAAGAAATTAGGATCACAGTATTATATGAAGTAAAATAATGAACAACCAATACAGTGAAATTCAATAAATATATATGTAGATAAGCATATTAGAAACACGTGTAAATAAATAAAAGAATACTCAGATACAAAATAATGGACAAAAACAAGTTTAACCACGTGCCACTTGTTACCTTGGCAGCCAGATGGTAAAGAAAATTGGCTGTAAGAGTAGCTCCCGGAGGGATGTCATCACCATCAGAGAAGGATCCAGAACTTATCGGAGGCAACCCAGGACAAAGAGAATCCTCATGTTCATTTGATAAGCATGCTTCAGCAATAGATCCCTCTGAAGGTAAGACAAACATTCTAGGTGAAAAAGGACACAAAATCATGGGAAAGTGATGCACAGAAACAGCCAATTTTTGCCGTACATCTTCCATAAGCCCAATTGGATTATCTTCATATAGATCCTTTCCAGCTGATCTAGCTTCAAGATTAGGGATGTCCACTTCACTAGATGTAAGCCGTGACCATCCATCATCGTCAAAGGTCAATTTTTCCAGGAAGTTGTCATCTTCTGACTTTCCAGACTTTGTATTGCTCTTCTTAAGGAGCTCTTCATAATCTTGAAGAAGCAAGGATTTATACTCATGGAATGCATCTGGCCCCAGAGGTGAATCAGGATATGCTGAGTGAGCTATCTACAATGAAAAAAATTTCCAATAATACTCAAACCCAACAGACAAAGGAGGTTATGGTAGAAAAACCATGCTATCGCCTATCACAAGAATGATATCAAAATAAAAACATATAACCTCATACTACAACTTATCACCATAGAATGTCAACAGGTTTGCAAGTATGAATAAATTTAAATTGAAAATGCACAAGAATCAAAGGAGTTTCAGATTAAATCTTAAATACTACTAGTACCAACATACAAGTTTGTTTCAGATGCCATATAGGAATAAGATAAAAGTTAGGTGATTATGTTCATAACTCACACAACAAGAAAATGAAGAACATAAAAAAAGTTTAACAGAGACAAAGTCAATAAATCCTAACATATAATAACAGCGATGTCAAAAAAGCACCTCTGAGATAGATGTAAATATTGCACAGTCACAAACACTGTGGTGTGTGCTCAGGCACCGTACAATGTAGCGATGTGCATCACTTAGTAGGCGAGATGTCATAACCACTATTTTTCTAGTGGCACCAAAATTTGAGTTCCAATCAACCACCTGCAGAAACAATTCAATTGAAAATTACAACATGCTTGAAGTTGCAGATATGGCTATGATTTAAAACAAAGTCTAGATAAACAGTTAGCACAATAGAAGAACTAACAATCTAGCACATTAAACATGTTTAGATACTACATTATCCCCTTGATTCTTTAACAAAGCTCTCCCTGGTGCTCTAGGTTTTGTGTGATATAGCCTAATTTCTCGGTTTTTGAACATCATTAGGGTCTGAAACAAGCAGGAATGAAATTACACTGACAAGCGGGAAAGAAGGATTTTCCAAATTTTAAAGAGATTATAACAAATGCTGGGAAAATTATGAAGAGTGAGATTTTATTTAGAAATATGTCCAATCAACTTACCGCATCAAGAGCACACATGTTTTCCAAGCTGCAAACCGCACGTACTCCAAGTTCTAGTAAGACAGGAAATGCTCCAATAAATTGGAAACTCTCTGTACATCCAGAATCTATGTACAGAGTAGCATCTTCAATGTGCTCCGATATCTAAATAAAATAAAATGAAAAATGAAAAAACAAATGCAAAACAACTGAAAAATGAAACAAGAATACAGCTATCCATCAGTATGAATAACGTATTTGTAATTTGGAAATAACCAGTACAAATTGCATCAAACAAATTTCATGGTAGAACCTAAATTCATTAGAATATCTTACAGCTTTAGAAAGATCAAGAGAAAACACAGGATTCTAGCTCTATGGTGTCTATCAAATCACACCAAAGAATCGATGATGCAGTTTGTTAACAAAGTATACTCATTACTTAAAAATTCTTTCTCATTCCCAGAAATCCCCAATTCCCCTTAGTATACTCAAGTGCAGAACTATACTGGACCCTACAATTCTTGGTATCATAAAACCCATGGCAATTCGCTCCTGAGGTATCGAAATTCTAACCCCTGAACTTGAGAAAACACAGGTCTGACTACTACTCAAATCATGAATCTTCAAATTATCAATAGCCCTAACAATTCAGAGGCTGTAACTCTGTCAGGGGATTAATTAACTCTATTACCAAGATATTGAACCCATAAATTTAACATCAAGTGAGCCAGTCATGCCTAATCAATTACATTTTCAACCAAATTTATGTAAATAACTACTAAATATACACGTTACGAATAGAAATGTTGTTGTAGCTCCAGCAATTCGCTTCAACTATCCAGGGAAAAACAAATCACAAAGAGAAACAGAACTTACTTGGCGAATGGAATCAACGCAACATTTAGTCACATCAACCAGAGCCATCTCAGTAAGACAATCTGCAGAAGTACAACCTTAAGCAAAAAGTAACAAAATCAGTTAATCAACCAGAATTCATGACAAAAATGATTTACCTTAATGACAAATTGACAATTTCACAGTCTGGTTTGGAACGAACAGAAAAGATTAACTGCAATTCAACGGAGATTTGGGCTTGCAGCTTCCCCGATGGAGAGGATGGAATGCAATCGAATACGGTAACAGTTACCCGTTATGTCTCCGGTGAAAACATTCCATGGCAGGAAAAAAAGAAATTTTTACAGAGTCGGGTCAGATTCTTTGGACAGATGGATCGAACTCGACTGACCCATCATTAGTTTGGGCTGAAAATTTTTACCCGTTTGGGCCCTTTGGTTCCATTTTTTAAAATAAATGGACCCTCGTGTTTCTTTAGAAAAAATAAATTAAAAATCAAATTGAGGAAATTTAAATGCTAACTTAATCATTTCAAGGGATAATTATCGTGATTTCAAAACTTAAATTCTCTCTTCCTCTAATTTTATCTTATTTTTAATGGAGTAAACGATATATTCCCATCCAAGGTTTAACAAAACCCTAAGGGTCCGCTTAGGAGTTTCATGATTATGAGGGTAAATCACCATAGTGGTCTTGAGGGTAAACCATTGTAGCGGTTTTGAGGGGTTTTTAGTAACAGTTTTTAAAACACCCAACCTGTAGTTGGGAGTTTATTTTCCAGCGGTTCTGACAGTTTTTTAAAATGATAAATTTACATATATGTCCATAAAAATACATCCACTCTAACCAGTACTTGGGAGTTTTGTTTTTTCAATTATAAGGTAAGAATTCTTTGTTTGTTTTCTATTTATTAGTATTTTATAACTTCAAATGTGATAAAGTCTTCTTATCTTTCTTCACCATTCATTGCAGCATATGGAATGATTGAAAAATTGTAACTCCACTTCTCCAAGAAAGCATCTAGAAATGAGATTTTAATAATTTTTTTTTTTTTATGATTGCTTAAAATTATTTAATATTTAATATGGTTGAAGACGTGCATAATATGGTTAAATTTTTTTTTTTTTTGGATATAACTGGGATAGATTTATAGTGGATAGGGTATTTGTGGAATAAAATTTTAAAACCAACCAAAACACCCCAATTTGGGATGCTTTACAAACCCTTCAAAAATACACTACATTGGTTCTTGGGGGTTTTTAAGCCAGTCAAAACTAGTGCATAAAAAATTGGCAAGTAATGATTTTAAAACACCTCAAAACTAATCTAATTAAAAACCCCTCAAAACCAGTGGAAAAAAAACTCCCAAGCAAACCCTAAGTTCATATCTTGGTTGTATTTATTATAGATTCTCACCCTTAAACTAACACCGTTAGTGACTGTTGGAGGTGGTCGAAAATTGTGAGTGAGGTCGAAAAACGAAGGAATAAGTTTTGTAGAGGAGGTTGTGGGGAGTCCAATAGTAGTCTTGGAAGTGATTTTGGGCTTCGGAATTGGTCAAAAAAAAGCCAAAAAGCGTCAACTTGGACATTGCTAACGTGAGTCACTTTTTCCTAACATGAGCCCATATTCTGTCAAAGAAAGCGCCGATGCACTTTAGCATGCTAATGTGCGTCGCGCTACAATAAAAAGTTAGGAATTTGTTAAAATAAAGGAAACAACATTACTTTAAGGGTGAAAATCTGGAATAAATGCAACTATATATATCAACTTGGGATTTCGCTAAACCTCGGTAGAAATATGTCGTTTTCTCTTTTTAATGTGTATGAGTTGAAAAATTACAAACGGATTCAGATTTTAGAGGCTTGATTTTGATAATGGTACTCCGGTCATCAGTCATGGTTTATAGAAACAACAATACTAGACATACAAAGAAATTTACAAAGATTTTTTGTATAAAGTAAGGTGATAGGAGATGAATGGAAGAGTGAATACAAAAGTTAAACTCATCATTTTCACTCTTCCATTAATATCTTATCACATCACTTTATACAATAAATCTTTGTAAATTTCTTTATACATGTAGTATTACCAAGTTATAGAAAATGAGAGATTTTGTATATATAACCAAAAGTAAATTATTTATTGAAATCCGCTATTGAAATTTTGTATCGGATGATCGAAACTAATTCACTATTCATTTTCAACTATTTTTGTTAACGACCTAATTAACTTATTTGAAAGAAGAGGCAAATGACAAGACTTTTTATTTATTTTTAATAACCGAGGGTGTTCGGCCAGTTTGCGTGCATCCAACTAATTCTTCGGGACCCTAAAACTACCAGTCGGGTAAGAGTTCCAGTGATCACCCCTATTAGCAGTCGTAAAGACTCAAACTCGAGAGATTATGTTAGATTCTCCTCTTACTTTTTTACCATCAAGGGGATCCAAACTTAAGAAACTATATTAGATCCTCCTTTGTTCTTTTACATAATGACTTTTCGTTAACGAAGGACTAAAAGCAGCCTTTAGTAAATTTCTCCAATTCTTAAACCACTTAAAATATATCCTTTAAAATTTTATCGACCACCGTCCTCCCAATTTGTATTTCAATAAGACAACTATCAGTTGACTATGATTTATTTAGCAATAATTCCTCCGACACTACCATTAAATTTATAATTAGCTTGATTTATGATAGTGTTAATTGACTTAACGAATCAGTTATTTCCTGTCACATATCCCTCTAACTATTTATATACTGTTATCCCTAAAAAGTTAGGGCTGACGTGGACTCTCGTCAGCAAAAGCCAATCAGAATTTAGGGAGGCTTTGTGTCGTCTAGAAGTTGCCACGTCATGCAATGATGGAAGAGGTATGGTTTTCGTCAGTATAGCAGGTGAATGCCAGACTTGCGAGTGGCTAGGAATCGTCCGCCTGCCCAAGCTCTATGCAATTTAAGGATATCTCTCGTGCAAACAACCAATGGGAAGCAAGTTAGGAATTGTGCCCTACCTACCGAATTGTAGGCTCATGATTATTACCTTGAATCTTCCCACTATAAATAGAGGGCTCCTCTCTCATTTACGGGATTGGCTTACCTTTAGTCTTAAATAGCGTGCACACACACACACACACACACACACACTCTCTCTCTCTCTCTCTCTCTCTCTCTCTCTATTTTCTCTCTAGATTGTAACTTAGCTCGCTACATGCGACCTGACTATAACCATCTATTAATACAATTACAATGGACGTAAGAATTGATTTTGAGCATTCGAACCACTTTAAAAACCATATTTTATTTACCCTCTTGCTACATATTTTCATATCACGTGTAACTTCTAAGCCCGCTTAGCACTTTGCACGTGTGAGTTGTTGGTGTCAAAATCAAACATCAATAGTTTGGCGCTAGAAGGAGGGCGTGATTTAGTATCTACTATTCATCAGAAACCTCTGACCAATCAGTCCTACCCATCAACAAATGGCTCGCGATTTCGAAACTGAGTGAATCGATCTTGACAATGAGGAAATCCCCTAGGTACAGGATGACACTTCTCCTGAAGTGCCGCCAGTCCAACAGAGTACCATGACAGATATTCCTTCAAGCTCACGACTCAACCCAGCTGTGATGAGTTACCTAGAGAGATTCAATAACACGCTCCAAACGGTTAGCCAAAGGCTAGATTGTTTAGATCAGGTCGTGCCACCAAAGTCCAATGAAGCAGTGTCATCGCCAAAGACACCGGCAGTCGGCAAAAGCATGGAAAAGGGTAAAAACTCATACTGCGTGCACTACAGTACACAAAAGTAAGGGAAAACAAGTGGCGAGTAGTGGACTTAAGGGCTTTGAGGGACCAACAAACACTAGTCATGCAACGGGTAAAGTACCCGTGGCATTGCTACTTGGCGACACGTCGCAGCATGAGCCGTCCCACGCCACGTCGCATGGGCACTCCCACAAAAGTGCAAGGCAAGGAGATTCCTAATATCGCTGAAATGATAACCTCAACCGTCATCATGCGAGAAACCCCCGTCGTCTGTGGGTCGGTTTGAACCACCGTAGATATCAGAAAAACTCTCCAAGCCACTCAATGCCTTCACATGGCCCCAACCAGCGTATGTCAAGGTTCGCCGGAGCTTCCAACCCAGTTGAGGAAGAGCCCAATTTGCGGTCTTTCCTCAACCGCAACTGTGAGGGTCGAACCCACGTTACAGAGAGCGATCCCTAGACAGCTCTACTACCTCAGATTAAGGAACTACAATGAGCTTTGGATCAGCTTAAGGCTCAACAAAATGAGGGTGGGAAGATTACAGAGGCGTCTCACTTTTCTCCAGCAGTTTTAGCTACTCCTTTCCCACCGAGATTCAGAATGCCCGACATGCGGGCATTCGATGGGAATTCAGATCCGCAGGATCACCTTTATGAGTTCAACAACCTCATGGAACTCCACCAAGTCTTCGACTTGGCCAAATGTCGCTGCTTAGTAGTAACCCTAACTGCCCATGCCAAGCGCTGGTTCAGGTCGCTTCCCGAGAGATCAATTGGCTCATGACATCAAATGAGCTCATCATTCCTAAGACACTTCTAGGCAAACAAGAAGTTCTCGATACCGTTGAGCAATCTAAGCAATATATGATAGGAGAGGAACAAATCCCTCTAGTCTTACATAGACAGATTCCATAGGGAACTCCACAAAATGGCTCACACTCCCGAAGAGTCCATTTGGACTCTTGTTATCATGGGGGTTTGCCCGTATACTGACTTATGGAAGGAACTGCAATCCGAGGGCGATGTTTCTCTCACTCACTTTTACAACCTCACTAAGAAATATCTCCAAACTGAAAATTTTGTGGCCGTTCTTAATTGCCACGACCCCAATCTCTCGACCAGTGCTCCTGACCGAGGGGAGAATAGTAGAAGGGCTGATCAAAGATGGGCTAATGACGATCAACGAAAGGAAAAAAGCAGCGATTTGAGCCCAAAAAATCTTATGCCCCAGTTCCTCATCGCGATCGCGACAAAAGTCAATACACTTATTTAAATGCCTCAGTATCGGCTATTCTGGATAAGTTAGAGGAGGCCAGCCTGCTCAAAGAGCCAGAGCCCATGAAGAATCCCCCCTTAGCCAGAAACAACAAAAAATAATGCTGCTATCATCGGAATAATAGGCATCACATCGATGAGTGTTGGGCTCTCAAGCAAGCAATCGAAGACCTCATCAAGTAAGGGCACTTCAAAGAGTATGTCGCTAGTTTGACTCCCATTCGAGAAAAGGATTAAGAGGAACAAGGGAAG